TCTATCAAGCATTTAAGCACAATATAAACTTAGTCTTCAAATAAAAACGTTGCAAAATATCACAGATTTTCATGTAATTTGGCATCCAATACCCCAACAATATAGAGATAGAGGGTGTTTGGGAGTGATTAACTTGTGGATAAAATAATTTCCACAAAAGCTGAAAGCAAAAACACTTCATACATACTTATCCGAAACGGTGTTCTATGTGCAGAATAGTTGTGGTGAAAAGCAAAAACTGACATGCCAAATAGAGTAAAATCACTTCCACTCAAAGCAGAAGCTAAATTGTTAAAAACAGTGCCAAACTCCTTCATAATGTGCTTTCAAGAAATTCCCAACTATTTTTTTGAGATTTGAAATTTTAAAACACAATGGATTTTATTCACCTCGCCAAGAAAACAGAAAATTCTTTTAGGAACATAGGGATCATTAAAGAACAGTGCAAAACCCAAAATGCCAAAAACCAAATAACCAAACAGACAAAAAGGGTAGTGTCGAAATAGAGGGATTAAATTAAAGTCATGCTGGTCAAAACAAGAGTTGGCTACAAAATTAACACAGCATCAAAAAAAGAGGGTCTTGCAGATTTAACTATAGATATGACTCTCATGATGATATGGTTGGATAGAAAAAATGTCAAAACATCCACTAGGCCAAGTAGATAACCCAAAGAAGAGAAACATTTGACTCACTTTCCATCCACTTCGACATCCCCGCCACGCCGGCTCACTCTTCATCCTCTTCAACATCCCCACCGGCAGCCTTCTTGGCAGCTGCCTTCAGGTTCCTTCTCTTCACTCTACCAGGGCGACCACCCCCAAATGGACTGTTGATTGAGAAGTCAATGTGCTTCTGGGAGTCCACTCTAACCAGGAAGGAGGGTACATTCACCACCTGCCTTCCAACCCTGGGGTGACCAAATAATATTTCAATATTAAAATTGTAAAAGACCCAAAAAAATACAGCAACTTTATCAGTTCTACCTTTCACAATTCTAATAAAAAACAATATAATTTGACTATATTTTGGAATTTTAAAAAATAGGAATACATACACACTCATCCCTATATGAACCCTACCTTCATGGGATTCTACTGGGTTGTTTATTCGCCTTCAAATATAAATGACAAAAAATTTAAAGATAATGTGACATAAGTTAAAAATCATGATATGATAAAGAACAGCGAACGTGTCTTTTTGTGAGTATTAGCATTAGCATTGTACTTGAATCTATATCTAAGGCAAACTCCTATGCTCAACCAACTTATCCAATGTTATATTAAGCTGTATTGGGACAACAAAATTGTATAAATTGGAAATAAAAGTGCCAAGAGTTACAGCTTTTCCTGCCTTCGTAAATGTGAAGAAAAAACAAGTCAGCTTTTACCTATAACACGGATCTCAAATCAACTTCAGACTTGACAAATAAGATATGAATCAAATAATTTGACTTCTATTTTGGGTGCCAACCTCATTGAAAAACTAGTCCCAAACAGACATTGTTACATGAATGAAATCCTGCAAACAAGGAATGCAAGAAGAATTTGGAGGACATCCATACCTGATGTGCTTCTGCCTGATAAGAACACGTGAATGATGGATGGACTTTGCCATGCCAGCTTTAAAGACCAAAGTTTGGAGACGACGCTCAAGGAAATTTTCAACTGTGAGAGCAAGGACATAATCAAGCTTGTTCTGGGTCTCGTCAAGCAGTCCATATCTGTTCATCTTCCTAAGGAGTGCATCACCCTCAAAAATACGTTTTGGGTTCTTTTCATCAAGGGTAAGGAGCATTCTAGCATTATTCCTGATCCGACTCAGAGCATACTGAACCCTCCAAAGTTCCCTCTTACACCTTAGCCCATATTCACCAACAAGCTTAAGCTCAGCATCCAAACGCTCCTTTTCGTAAGGGCGACGAGGCTTCTTGAATGTCTTCCCATCTATGTTTCATACCATAGATACATGTATTAAACTATTAACTTTACAGAATACTGATATATCAAATAAAATAACACAACAACAGCAGATATTTCTTATTAAATGATCATCTGAATAATTGAGTACACATCAGCTACATTAATACGGAGGAATTCAATTGGCCTCTTTTGTTTTATCATATACTTTCTCCATCTCAAATCCATTGTCTCACTTCAAAAAGGTGTCAAAATTTGTTACACTCTAGGACTGAAATAAAAATAAAGTGAAAGCTGATAAAACAAGAAGTGATCAACTATGAATCATTCACAATGTTACTTGATTAAAACATAAACAATGCATAAAGTTTTTTCTTGGCAATAGAAAAGATCATTGATACTTTATTAAATTTCTGTTAAGTGAGTATTGGCAGTAACAATTTGGTTAATCACAATACTACAGACTACATAACTTCTGCATTAGCATATGAACATATGGAGGTTTAGATAATAATAAAATGCACAAAAATATATGGATTCTGAGAACTGAAAACATGGAACGGAAATGCTCACAGTTGCGGTAATAGGAGACGTGAACCATATTCGGCTGCCGCGATCTGCAGGAATATCCTATGCAGAAGAGAAACGAAACTCATTACAGTTTGGAAAATTATGGAAAAAGAATTTAAAAAAACAAAAGGTGTTTCATTGGAAGGAAGAAGATGGCGAAAGCGGAACCGCGAAAATGAAATACCTGGCCGGATCTGAACTGGAGGACCGGTGATTCGCCGTCGGGATCGGAGAGGCGATCGGGAGTTAAAGGGGAGTTTATATAGTCGACGGTATGTTTCTAGGGTAGATGATGGGTTTATAGAAAGAACTATAGTTGGGCTTGAGTCCATCCATTGATAATTTTATGTTCTCTCAATTTGTTATACCATTTCGGGCCAATATTTACAAAAGCCCAGTATGTGTAATTGACTCTTTGGTACCTAATATTTGCGTTTTCTGTTTTTTGAATTTTTGTACTCACACTGTCTTCTGTTTTTGTTTACGAGTTTTGATCAAATTTATTTTTAATTTAATTTATTTAATTGTATGTATAAAATAAAAAAATAAAATTAATGTATTTAAAAATTAATTGGGAAAAACGTTTTAGAACGGAAGGAGTATCTTTTTCTTTTTAAATTTGTACATATTTATGGAGTTGGGCAATCATGCTCCGAGTTAGATGATATACCGAATCAGAATAGATTAGAGTTGTGTATTCTAAGTAGGATTAGTCAATATCCGATCCAGTTTTCAGGTCACGGAAAAAGAACAACTCATATAAAAAATTCACTTTGGTTTAAAATGTGTTGGTATCGCGTCAGAATGAAAAAATAGAGTGTCTGCTTATGAGTGTTTGAACTCTAAATCACAAATTAACGACAAAATGTAATAAGAGTTGCTCTTTTGTGCAATTTTAGGAATTCATTTTTCATCTATCAAATATTAGATTCACGTGATTCTACGTCTATGAATCTGATAATTAGGTTTACAAGATCATATAAAATTTGTAATTTTTTTATTACGTGCTGATGTTTTTTAAAGTAGAAATAATGGATGTATAAATGTTTCACTCAACATAGCCTTAATTTGAATAAAATCAAAGATTTCTACCCCCTAAATTTTCATAGCGATTTGATTTGTATTCTAAGTCCGATGATCAATACTTTGCCTCTGATATTTTTAAATGTTATTTTGAGTTTTCCAGTTAAAAATAGGGCCATCCTAAAATAAACCAGTCTGAATTAAAATCATTAAAGTATGTTTTCTGATCTTACCTCCAACCTAATTTTGTTTAATTTTAATCCGATTTTGGATTGGTTGAACTTCAAAATACTCTGTATTTACTTCCCTATATCTTCAATCACATATCTTCAATGAAAATTATGATTCCGAGTATTTTTAGTTTTTTTTTTATTTTTTTCTAATTCCTTTCAATTTATTTTATGTTTTTTCAGGCTTTTTAGTTTTTCTAGTTTTTCTAATATTTTTATAATTTTGTCCACCATCCAACTTTTTTTTCCAATGTTGAAGAACATACCCTTAGTCCGATATTGTTGGGTGAAAAGTCTTCATTAATCATCATTGGATAAAAGATGCAGGCACAATTTCTTTACCTATTTTTTAGCATAAAAATTGCAATGATGGATGAAATAAAGAAAACTACGGCCATTTTAGAAAATCTAACAATAAACACAAGTAAATAAATTCAATAAATTGATGATACCAAAGTAGGGACGTAAATTAATCGAATATTTTTTGTTCGATTCGTGATTCGTATTCGTTTAAGGTGATTCGTATTCGATTTTTTCGAATCCGAATACGAATACGAATCTGAATAAATATTCGAATCCTTATCGAATACGAATATGAATCAAGGGTATTCGATTCGTGAGTTTGACAAATATATTCGGAATATAAATCTAATGATACGAATTATACAAATTATATATATATATATATATATATATATATATATATATATATCAAATGGTTATAAAATATTTTAAAATCTAAATAAACTGAATAATTTTAAACGAACCGAATATATTTAAACGAATCGAATATTTAAACGAACCGAATATGTTTAATATATTAAACGAACCGAATACGAATCTTAAAAAATATTCGAACCGAATTCGAATTCGAATTCGAATATCACTCCATCTTAACGAATATGAATATTTTTCATGAATATTCGATTCGATTCGGTTCGTTTACAACCCTTAACCAAAGTCATTATCCATTAGATCAAGCCACAAATTTAACAACATTTACTAATTAATCTCTTTTTCATTTTGAAACGAGACGACTCTAGATGTACATTTATCTTTGACTCTATTTGATTATTCTAATCTAGACAACTAATATTTCCCGAGCAATCACCTTTGAACAATGACTTCGAACCGATTCTCTTCAACTTATTTTTCTTAGAATTAGATCAAAAATTGTTTTAACTATTAAGCAAAATCAAATCATATCAGATCAGACCTTAATAAATTCATACCAGAACCAATCAATTCGGACGAAGAAAACACGCCCTTCTTAATACAGAAAAAAATGCATGTTAATACCAAAGAAAAAACAAGTTATGGGAAGTGTTTACAAGGTAAGTATAATGAAATCACTGTTGTATCAATAGGGATTAGTCCTCTTTCATCTGGTTCAAGAAGAATGGTCTCTGTATTACCCAACCATGGCCATTTTTTTGAATGAGAAAGCCAAGCTTCAATCATCATGATCATCATCTGGCTCATCATCTGGCTTCTTGCTAAATGGGTTAACCATTTCATCCGAAAATGAAACCGTCACGCGCTTTCTGTAATTTAAGAGTGGTTTGATCCATTTTTTCATTTTTTTGTAAATGTAATTTGCTCCGTTGTGGGGGCCGGGATAAGCCAACCAGCATATTATTACCGCTTTAGCAGAGGGCCACATTGGAAGCCTGAATTCATCATAATAATATTCAGTAAAATATTCATCGCTAACACGCCAAAAGTATTCTAAAAGAAAGAAAGAAAACATAGCTTTATCTTGTAGTCTTGACTTTGATTTTGGGACAAAAGAAGTACGTTAAATCAATAACAATAAGACTAAAAACACCATTAAAAAAGAGAGGCAAAAAACATGGAACGTATAAAAAATTCTGAACATTTCAAAAAAAGGAGAGTGAACAATTAAATCAAAAGGGATAAAGGATATAAGGGAACATCACCATTCAAATGTTTGTGGAAATGTACTCTCTAAGAATCCGATGAAAAAGTAAAGAACCCAAAACTTTAGCCATTTCTTTTCATCTCCTGAGTTGCTCGCCATTGTCTTGAACGATTGCCATCTGTATCACAAGCAAATATACATTCAGTTTTTTTTAAAAAAATTTGTGTTTCAGATGTGGCCCGGATTTGGTGGAACAATATAAGTTATTCAGAATTTCAGACCTGTGAAAAAATCCGGACCATATCTGAAAAGATAAAATTACGGGCTTCAGGGAAGTACTCATTCTGTCTGACTTTAGTTATCAACTTTCTAAAGATTTCCAAGAAACGAGTTTAAAACGCCAAATAAATACTTTTATTTAATGAGATTGTCACTCTTATTGAACAAGAACAAGTGAAGAATTAATTACGCATGAACAAAAACAAGAAAGTGAACAACTAAATCCGGACGGCTGACTTACAGAAAATAAGGAATGAGGATGTAATTCACCAGGTGAGGCCTGAAAATGGAACAAAGTAAGCTCGGTGAAGAAGCCCAGCCAAACAAGGAATATACATAACAACAAACAGAGATAAGAAAAATGGGGAAGATTCAAATCAATCATCGTACAAAGCATCTACAGCACTTGTGAAAAACCCAAGTATTTTGTGAACTGTATTCTCGTCGTTGGATCGCCGCCGTCCCATAACACCAAGTGTTTCTACTTGGTCTGTATTTCTTTTCTTAAGATTTACTCATCAGATCATAAACATGGGAGATTGGGAGGCATGACATAAATATGAGGTCGCTTACCATTGTCTTTCACTTTTTTTTTCAACCCAGGTAAGTTTTTCAATGTGTGGGAATAAAGTCAAAAAGTATATGTGAATGCATGGGTTTTAATTATGCAAAAAATTGAATTTAAGAGTCTGTCCCCACTTTTATTTATTTATTATCATAACCCCATATAAGAATGTTTTATCCATCCCACTATATTTGTCTTGTACCATATTTAGTTATGTGTGTATAATTCACACTCATTCTTACTTTTATCCTCCATATCTCTTCTTTTTTTAATTTTTCGTGTCACTCCACCATATCGCAAACAAAAAGTGACGGCACATTTATAAATTACACAAATACTCATTTCACATATTTATTTCTTTATATATACTTGAAGCATGCATATTATGAAATTGATGTACGCAAATTGCACAATGTTCAATTTCTTGGTAAAATAATTCTGTAATTTGTTGCTAATTAATACTTATGATCAGTGAAAGAATAAAAGGAAAATCTTAATAATGAAATTGCAAAAATGCTCACATCTTTTTTTTTAACATACTGAGAGCATACACATTGGATGTATATGAAAATAAATTTATATCCAGATGTACGGTATAATTTTTGGTACTCCAATATGCTTCCACTCTTCATGCCATATTTTGGATTTCCAAGAAGATCTTGGAAAGCTGCAGGAATAAAGAGAAGATGCACTTTTGGAGGGCAAATGGGAAGAATGACATTCATTCTTTTACTCTCTCAGTCCTAAACTAAATTCCAATTTGTTGTTTTATGGAGTTGAAGAAGAATGAGATCGCGTGGTTGAGATTTGTGCAGAGGATAGAGCCACACAAATTATTCTTTAAATGGAATGAGAAACATAACTTCAACATTCTTTAAAGGAGAGTGAAAATTTAAATGAGTACATTTTTTGCTCACCGGATATAACGGTTTTTGGCAGTTTTCAAGGCTCAATCACAACACGGCTCAGTATATCAGCAAAAGACTTCACATCTGTGCCCCATAGCCTGTTCACATAGAAGTTTAGAACTCACATTTAAAATTTGACCAATCCAAGGGAACATAAAAGGATAAGTTGTTCTTTGTTTTGTTTTTTTTTTTTTTTGCTTTTAACTTTTCAAAACAACAACCAAGAATTCAATATGGATATGTTTCTCAAGTTATGACTTATGACAAGAAACAATTATGACAAATTCGTTGCAGAACGTTATTATTGGAGAATAGAGTACTTAAAAATTTTGCTGCTTTCTAATAGAGGCAATACCCTACCAGCACTCAATTCCAGCAGCATTAGCACCTTCCCTATCAGCCTTAGGGTCATCTCCAACATGGACTGCCATTTCCTTTTTTACACATATCTGATCTACAAAAATGACAAAAACAACAACAAACCCAATAAAATCCCCCAAAAAGATAGGGTCTGGGAAGAGTGTAAGCACTAAGCAGATTTTACCACTACTATCACAAGTTTCTACAAATACTTGACTACATCATAATGGTGGGACCCTCACTCATCATGTTGCCCTTCTTTATCAATGTTTTAACAGTATGAATAAGTAGAATGGATTAAGAAAAGGATAGGGAGCTTAGGAACCTACCCAGAGCAGCTTCAAATATCTTAGCATCCGGTTTTTCATATCCGACCTCTGCAGACACTATTACAGCATCAAACCTATACAGAATATTATTTTTTTTAAAAAAAAAAAGAGCAATTATATTACAAAGAATTAAAAGAACACCAAAACATTAGAATAGTGATAGATGTTTGCCGGAATTTGTTGAAAGTTTGTGAGGAAAGAATTGTAAAAGGAGATGCTTACAGATGAACCACATTGAGATCCTCCAATAACTTCCTCAAACGGGTGTCAAAATTGGACACAACTGCCAGTTTGACTGTAACATATTTTCAGAAGTTAAAGCGGCAATGTATAAAGCTTCATGAGATGCATATAGACATAAAGCTTCATGAGATGCATAAAGACACTTGAAACCTCCACTATCTTTAAGATTTGCTAAAATATCAGAGGCTTCGGCTGGGAGACGCCAAGCATCACCATTTGCATAGTGCTGAATTGAAAAGAAATATGATAAGAAACAATTAATTTTGGAAATTAAAATAATATTGTATACTATAACGATATTCTGGTGACCAATTTCAAAGCAGACTCTTACCTTTTTATAACCCAAAAAAGGATTTAAAAAAAAGGCAAGTGGAATTAGGATTATGGAAAAGTGTGGATGCAAGAATCACCTGGTAAACTTCTTCAAAGTAACCTTCATCACTACAGCCAGTTGCTACAGAAACAATGAACTTCCAAAATGGTCTTCCATCTCCCTGCCAATAATTTGCACTCTAACTGTTTGTAGGCAATACAAGAGAAGCAAGAAAGTCCACCTCGGTGCAAGAAAGTTTTGATGGCCATTTCAACATGATAGCAAAACAAGAAAAATGCAGTTTTGTGTTCTTGAGTCGAAAAGATAAACTTTTGATGGAGAAAAAGATACTCCGTACAATAATAATAATAATTTTAATTTTGGGAAAAAATTCCAGTTAAATCCAGAACAATTAATGCGAACAAAGAGGCTTTACATATAATTCAGAAGAACAAGAGGGAGGTTTACATGCAAGCTTAATGACATGAGCAAACCTGATACCGCAGCCCCTCAGGCCATGAAGCAGAAAATGCTCTCTTGAAACCTTTATTTATCTCAGCTGGTGTGGTGGAGAGACCTGTTATGGTTATTTGAAAAGCTGTTCATGTTAAGCGATCAATCCTAGATCAAAGAAACACACAAAGGTATAAACCAACACATAGTATCCTGCTACTCCTAAAAGATTGACCTTTTGGGATGGTATTGGAACCTCTATGCAAAATAAAATTGTACACGAACAGAAAAAAAGAGTTTCACAGCTTTCTTTTGGATTGAGAGAGATAAGGGCATCGGTGATATGGCGAAGAACATGGGATTTTATGTGGAATAGCACCCTCGTGCGATTTAATCACTCTATATTATAATCTCCAACCATCCTTTGGCCATAATCATTTTACTCTGACGACACTGATGTTAAAACTTGAACATATATTTCCCCTCATTAAGCAACTACAGAATTACTCAAAAAGTTTCAAAGTTTTTTCATTGAACGAATAAATAAATCCAAAGCTTTTGTCCGCACTTCAAATCAGACAGCTATAGAAGTGAAGAGAGGTCATAATGATTAAAAGATGAAGCAGACCATATTTTGTGCCAATAGAAGCATAAGTCTCTTCAACAGGCTTAGCCAACTGCAATAATGTACCAGCAGCATCCAACAATAGTCCGTCATATTCTCTCATTGCCGTCTTTCTTCCTCCTGCCAATCAACTACAATGTGACCCTTTTGTAATATATAAACATCCAATCGAAAGGGAAAAGAATAAGCACTGTAACCGAGCGAAATGATAGGGATTGAACCATACATCTTCATGGAATTAATCATACTCATGACTAATAGCTAATAAAACAATAATAACAATAATTATCACCTTAATTTCACCTAAATTGAGACAGTGATGGGAAAAAAATTAAAGTGCGAAATTAATCGCCCAATTTCAAGAAAAAATCTAGGCGGAATGGTGTCAACATTCCTTAAAAACTTGTACCCTTCCCTTTGTATCAATTTCAAAGCATAAAGCTGCAACCTTTTTACATGAAAATTACACCTAAAAACGGTTTATTAACAATACAGATTCATACTAAATATAACAACGAAATGAGATTAAAAATTTTTAAATATGAATATCTTCACAAGAAATGTTCAACATGTAATTATGGCTGAGAAAATGGAAAAGTAAAAGTGATGAGTAGCCGCATTTGTGAATGTGAGATGGGATGAAAAACAGCTGACCCGTGTGAGTGTTCGAAGCAAGCGAAGAAGGCGAAGGGGAGCGTCGAACGCGGATAGATTCGGTGAGTTTCGGGTGGAGTTTGAAGGGTTTGATAGCTCTGAGAAGATGAATGGCTTCCATTGATCTCTTCTTGTGTTTTCCGGCGGAGGCAACAAACACCTCTCCAAGGTAAAAAGAACAATAATTGTCAAATTTAACTTTTCTTCACATAAGTTTATCCTCCAATGAATAAGGTAAATGAGAAGGTATTATACCTTTCTTAATTTTGGAGAGGTATATTTAACTCCTCAATTTTGAAGAGATATACCAATCTTTTCTCTTTCTTTAAAATACCTTTATTTTGAGAAACATATATTTACCTTCTCCATTTACCTTCTTCCATCGGAGTCAAAAACTTTTTACATAGGTATATCTACCTTTTTAAGAAGGTAAATGAGCAAAATACCTTCTTAATTTACTTTTTCCCTTTGGAGTTGCTCTAAGAATTGATGCTAGTATGAGTTTTATATTGTAAAATTCTAAATTAACACGTTGGAAATAGAAACTAATACACGGGATCATATTCTTGTTTTGATTAACGTGTTAACTCGGAAATTTAAGAGATAAATTGTGTTCAAAAAATTAATTTAATTCACATTTTTTATATACAGGGACTAATTCGATTCAAATGAACCTTCAAAAACTGAATTGAGTCATAAGCGCGCAAACTTAGATGAACCAAAATGACTATTAATTCATGCTAGTATACTACTCCACCCTCCCAGAAAAATAGTTGTGTTAGTTTCTAACAGATGTGTTGGTTAGCAACTGGCTAACTGCTGTGTTTGATTGTAATTATTATATGTATAAACACAAATTCTAGACATGTGTACGTGTATGGTGTACCACGGTATAAAAAGCACTCTATTTATATATTCTAGATTTGATATTTTCTTTCATATGTGATGTTTGTAAAGATAATGATGAAAAAATGGGATGAAACTTGAGCTATCTTAATTATCCCCCTTTTGTTTTGTAAAACTAATCCCTATTTTGCATAAATGATATTATATTTTAGAAAAAGAAATTGTAATGTTGAATCAATAAATGATTTGAAATGATTGAAATTACAAACTAATCCATAAATAATATTATAATATTGAAATTATATATCCTAGATTTGATATTCTCTCTCATATGTGATGTTTGTAAAGATAATGATAAAAAAATGAGGTCAAATTTGAGCTATCTTAATTTTTTTGTAAAACTAATTCCATATTTTGCATAAAAAATATTATATTTTTGGAAAAGAAATTATAATATTGAATTGAATTTGGGAATGTGCAAGAAATATTTTTACTAAATAGCACTAAAACTTAATTCATTTCCCTACTTAGCACTTAAACTGTTTTATTACTTAAATAGCACTTAATGGTGTTTATAATATCCAGTGATAGGAAATATTTACTTGAATAATAACTAATGCATGATGACTAAAAGTGCTACATTGCAAAAAATACACGTGATGCTATTTAGGGAAATTATTATGTTTTTGTGCTATGTTAGTTGATGGATATAAACTCATTGATTCCACCCGGCAGGTTCGCGACTAGCCGGGAGGTACCTAGTGCGACGCCTCGAGACCTGGTTAACTCGAGTATAAAAAGATCCAGGATTGAGAACATGACTTCGTTCGACGAAGGCATGCAGATTTACCGGTTGAAGACTGTTCGATCGAAAGAACAATGACGTTGAGACATACTTAACTTGCTTGTTTATTCTTATAAATATGAGTAAAAATCTCATTAGAAAGACATGCTAAGACATGCTTTAATTAATCCACACGGCTTGTAAGTTTGTAAACAATCTCGTTATTATTAGTAACAAATTGGGTTATAGGGGTTTCCACCTATCGCTCTTTCGCTTATTCGTACTTAGTATTTGCGTGGTTTTTACATCATCATTACTAAATTTCCAAAGTATGATTGACTACTCTTATCATCCAAATATAAGTTATTCGTTGGTGTTTATAATGTTTGACTATATATTTTTTAATTCAATTTATTTGAAAAATATCTTAGACTAAAATAAATAGCTCCATTTATGCTTTTTTTGGATTTATTTTATAAAATTAATCGAGTAATACAGGTATTTATTGAGTAAAAAATAAGATTGTTTTTTTAAGGCGGCCCCCAGCCAGACCGAGAGACTCCGTGGCCGTTGGATTAGGCGGACAAGCCATGCCGATGTCAAGGTCAAGACGGCGTATTCATCGTTGAAA